TTTTTTATTAGCGCCTGGGTACGAGGCAGATCAGCGCACAAAAATTAATTACATTAACAATATTAATATAATGCCAACTTGCATGAAAACAGATTATTTATGCATTGAGTTAGGAATAGCCTAAAAATTTCACCGATATAAATGAAATGAAAAACACAAAACATGTACGCCTTGCAAATTTTTTCACGGTTGGTGATAGTTACTAACTTAGAAAGTACAGGCTTGTTTGCAGTTAGAATCGAAGAACATCGCAAAAATATTCTCAAAATATTCGCAAAAAAACAAATCATCAGGGTGTTACGCGCCTCGCCGTTGGCTCGGAAATTACTATTGCAATACTGCAGATGGTTCAGGAAGCTTCCATTTATTATTTATTTGAATAAAACTGTTACTGTGTACCTATAGGGATATCATAAGTGATGATGGACAATTAGGGATAGGATTAACAAGATGGCGGCCGTGTAATATAAAAGCTTGTATTTTAGGATTTTGGGTTATTAGTTAATAAAGTCAGCTATAGTAACTTGGTGTCAGGAGTGGGATGGCGAACACTAAACCTCCTAAGTTAGATCTGGGCACTTGTGAAGATCAGAAAGAACCTGTTGAGTTATGGCTGGATCAATTTAATGATTGGTGTATATTACAAGAATTTCGAGACACAGCAAAACCAACGAATTATGATCCAAGCCAATGGAAAAGAGCTCATTACGCCATGGAGATAAGTGCGTTCAGATTGGCGTTACCTCTTGACGACTATTGTACTCACTATGACCACAATGAGTGGCGAAAATGACGAAGATACTTTTATCGGTAATCCGTGGGTATGGCAGTGAAAGTTGCTTTTTCATTATGCTGGTCAAGACACGGTCCTCGCTGAGAGAATGAATTTTATCGAGACTTGTAAGCAAAAGCCTCATGAGTCCATTGCTGAGTTTGAGTCTCGATGCAAATACCATGGGTCTAAATGCAAATACAACAAAATGACAAACCCTGAACAGGAATTTATTCGGGACAGATTTGTAACTGGAATACACAATGATAAATTAAGAGCTGAACTCTAGCGACATAAGAAAGATGATGGATGGTAGGTAGGTACGTAGGTAATACTTTATTTAAAATTAACAGAAAAAAGAACACGCTAGCCCCATCAACTCTAGGCTGGTTTCTATGGGGGGCGTGTTTAGATCTTAAAAATCATTAAAAGGAAAATTTAAACTAAATATTAGTACACACATACTGTACACGTTACTATATACAAATAATTAGGAAGCATGTCGCTGTCCAACAATTGATTTAAACGAATGAGGCGACTCGGCCAATTTTGCTTCGTTTGGGAGTTGATTCCAGAGCATAGCGCCGCTATATTTAAAACTTTTTTTAAGAAATTCTCGTTTCGGTTTAGGAATTGTTAGATCAATTGCTGTGTTTCGAAGATGATAATTAGTTTGATCTATTTCTCTTCTCACGAATGACCCCCGAAGACCTGGCGCAGTGTGGTCGTTAAGTATTTTATACATTAATACTAACTTGGCACCCGACCGCCTATTTTCAAGTGTATCCCAAGAAAGCATGTTGAGAAGATCAGCTGAGCGAGTATCATAATTAGCACCTGTTAGAACTCTTGCTGCACGAGACTGAAATCTTTGCAACTTGTCTCTTAGCAACTTACCACAAGTGTCCCAAAGGGGGAAACAATAATCAAAGTAAGGCTGCACAAGACTTTTATAAATCGATTCTAAGGTATGCATTGGAACAAAGGGCTTTATACGTTTCATAGCGCCAATAGCAGCGCTTGCCTTCTTGCATATCATTTCAACGTGACTATCCCAATTAAGGGTTTCATCTAGTTTTACTCCTAGGCACATTTGTGTAGCAATTCGTGATATGGGTTTTGCATTAGCCACAACGGGTTCCTCACACATTATATTATTAAGATTATAAGGGGAGCCAATAAACATCATTTTACATTTTGATGGATGCATCTGCAGCCTATTTTCTTTAAGTCAGTTACAGACATGGGCAAGATCTGAATTTTAATTTACAACAAGTTCATTTGCATCGTAGGAAGATGAAAAGATTTGAGTATCATCCGCGTACATGCATGGATTAGTTGATTTCAAACAATCGGGCAAATCATTAATATATAATAGGAATAGCAGTGGTCCCAGTATAGATCCCTGGGGCACTCCACAGGTGATAATTTTATTACTAGATAATTCTCCATTAACATTACGTTGCTGTTCTCTATTTGTTAAATATGACTCAAACCATTTTAATTCTACGCCAAAAATTCCAAATTGCTCATTCATTTTATTTAACAAAATGCGATGGTTTATAGAGTCAAATGCCTTTTTGATATCTATGAACACAACCCCATTTAACTTTCCATTGTCCATATTTTCTAGCCACTCATCACATATTTGGATGAGGGCAATTACAGTTGAATGCTTTGGACGAAATCCAGATTGAAACTTTGACAGAAGAGAGCTTTCAGACAAGTATCTATATACTTGACGGAAAACTTCCTTCTCAAAGGCTTTACTCACCACCGGTAAAATTGAAATAGACCGATAGTTCTCACATTGTCTTTTATCCCGGATTTAAATATTGGCGTAACACGAGCACGCTTCCATTCATCTATATATACGCCTGTTGCAAGCGACAGATTGAAGATGAATGTCAACGAGGGTGCAATTATGTTTGCAGATAATTTTAGAATTTTAGCAGGAATTTTATCAAGACTTGTTGCTTTACATGCTTTTAGGCCTCTTAGGGTCGAGGCAACACTATCAACGGATATTGGAGATACTTTAAAAAAAGTATCTGAGGATTGATTAATATTATAGTTTATGGGCTGATTATCAACATTACTACAGGACTCGTCTACATATTCTGCTGCTAGCTTCGATCCAATACTAATGAAATAGTCATTAAATGCATCTGCAATAGATTTAGGATCCGAAACTAACGTGCTGTCAACCAGCAGCTCATTCACATTGTTGGATTTGTTATTCTTTCCCAATAATGAATTAATTAATTTCCAAGTCTTTTTAGGGTCGTTCATTACAGAGCAATCAGTGATTTTATCATGAAAATATTTTGATTTTACATTTCGCATTTCAACATTCACTTTATTCCGCAGAAATTGAAAACTTTCCCAATGTGGCTGTGAGGAATGTTTTATTGCATATTTTTTATGATAGTCTCTGTTTCTCATCCTACATTTAATTTCCGGAGTAATCCATGGGACCGAGTTCCCCTTTACTCGCTTATGTCGAATCGGCGCATGTATATTTAATATCTCA